ATAAATTCCACAATTTAGATTTAAAGAATTATTTTTAAGATATTTTAAAAATAAAAAGAAAGTATTTTATATTTTATGACATCTAAACCATTTCTACTGTTCTTATTCCTTTGTAGAGATCCAAATTTCCATCTGTATAAATTTATTTCTGGCTGAGAAATGTTGCTAGAATTTGTGTATGTGCAGATCTGGCAACGATGAATACTCCAACCCTTTGTCTGAAAGAAAGTTTTTTTGAATGCTATTTTTTCTGTCTTGACAGTGGTTTTCTTTCAATACTTTAAAAATGTCATTCAATTCTCTCCGGGTTTGCATTGTTTCTGACATGAAATCTACTGTCATTCTTATCTTTGTTCTTCTGTATGTGTGTTACTCTTTATGTAATGTCTTCTTTCTCTGGCTGCATTTAAGATTTTTCTCTTCACCGCTGCTTTTCAGCAGTTGAATTAAACTATGCTTTGCACGGTTTCGTCAAGTTTCCTCTGCTTTGGGATTATTGAGGATCTCAGGTTTATTATTCTCATCAAAATTTAAATATATTTGGTCATTATGTTTTCATCTATATCCCTCTTTAATCCTATATTTTATGACCCTCATCACACATATATTACCACAAAATATCATCCAAAATATTGCAGATCCTTGTTTATTTTCCTCTCAGTTTTTCATTTTGGAGACTTTTTTATTGCCATGTCTTTGAGTTCTCTAATCCCCGCCCCTACTGTGATACTTAATCATCTGCTAATTCCTTCATTTTTTTTTAATTCAAACATTCTATTTTCTACTCTAGACACTTGATTTGAATGTTCCATATCTCCTATTTTTTCCTCATCAGTTTCTTTTTTCTTCATCCTTATTAAACATATGCAGGGTATTTAATATCTTTTACAGATTGTGTTATGTTGAAATCCCAACCTTCAGTACCTGTGAATGAGACCTTGTTTGGAAATAGGGTCTTTAAAGATGTTGTCAGTTCAGTTAACATGAGGTCATACTATGAGTAGTGTCCTTATAAAAGAGGAGAAGAAACAGAGAGGCACACAGAGGCAAGATGGGAAGATGGAGACAGAGATGGAGTTATGCCACAGCTGCAAGCTAAGGAATGCCTATGGCTACCAGAAGCTGGGAATGACAAAACAAAGGATATTCTCCTAGAGCCTTTGGAGTGTGCATGGGCCTTCTAATACCCTGAATTCAGACTGGAAGACAGTAAATTTCTATCATTATAAGCCACCCACTTTGTGGTACTTTGTTGCAGAAGCCCTAGGAAATTAATATAGTATCTTTCTCTATTAATTCCATCATCACTGCGATTTATTAGTCTGTGTATATTGATTGCTTTTCTCCTTTTCTTGTGTCATTTCTTTTCCTGTTTCTTCGCAAGCCTAGTAATTTTTGATTGGGTGCAGACATACTGAATTTTACATTGTTTGGTGTAAGATTTTGTTATCTTCTTTTAAATATAGTTGGGCTTTCATAGTGGGAAGAAGTTAAGTTACTTGGAATCAATCTGTTCCTTTCAAAGTGGACCCACAACAGTCTTTAAACCAAGGAAAATTTACTCCCACTATTAGAGCAAAAGCCTTCTGAGGACTTGTCTTAGTTTACATAAGTGCTGCCATAAATAGAAATCAGTGCTGCTGTAATAGAAATACCACAAGTGGGTGGCTTTAAAGAACAGAAATTTATTTTCTCACAGTTCAGGGGACTAGAATTCAAAATTCAGAGCATAGTTCTAGGGGGGGTCCTTCTTTGTCTATTTCAGCCTCTATTAGCCAGCAATCCTTGGAGTTCTTGGACTTGTAGATTCATCTGCCGCTATTGTCAGACAGCATCTGTCTTCCCTGTGTGGATGTCTCTATGTCTAGTCTAGGTTTTTTATAACTAGTAATTAGGTTTAGGATCCCCCCTACACTGGTGTGACCTCATTAACATAACAAAAGAAAGCCCCATATTTTCAAACAGGGTCATATTTACAGGCTCAGGAGTTACAAGTTCAACACGTATTTTGGGGGGGCACAATTCAGTCTATAACAGGTCTCAACCTAAGGCCCATGTATTTGGATGTCTTTACATTTTTGCTGGTGAAAGTACAAACCATTTCTACTCTCATGTGAACTCTAAAGATTATTTTCCATCAAAGTTTCCAATGTTTTCTTTTCCAACCTCTGTATTCACCACATACACATGTCCAGGTCAGTACTCATCCAGACACTCGTACAATTCTCCAGAGCTCTCTTACTGTAAAGCTCCATAAATCCAGTATTTTGCTCCATGAATTAGAGACACCCTGTCCTCTCTGAACTCCAAACTCTCTCTCCTCAAATCATCAAGACTAAGATGCTCTATGTGGGCTCCTCCTCTTTGCTATGTAGTCTGGAAACACACTACACGTAGTAAGTTTGGGCAGTCATAAGGATCGCTTTATTTATTTCTATTTCCACAGTGATCACTAGCATGCATTGCCAATGGATCAATGTCTGAAAACTTATGTTTTTATATATAATGTCCAGTTTTCTAGTTGTTTGCAAGGGGATGGTGATACATCTTATCCCTGCTACTCCATCATGTCCAGAAGCAGAAGTAATAAAGCTGTGAGCACATGCCACTACTGCCCCACCTATTATAGATGATGTCTGTTATCAGACTGAGGATTTTTTTCCCTGTTCTTAGTTTTATAAGAGTTTTTATCCTAAAAGGATGTTGAATTTTGTCAAGCATATTTTCTGCATCTATTGACATGTTCATAAGATTTTTATTTGATTTTGTTAATGTGGTGAATTGCATCAATTGATTTTTGAATGCTAACTTTGCACCCTGGCAATAAATGCCAGATGGTCTTGTTGTATTATCATTTTTATGTACTGCTGATTTGATTTGTTCATTTTATGTTAAATTTTGCCTCTAAGTTCATGATAGATATAAGGTTGTAATTTTCATTTCTTATAATTTCTTTCTCAGTTTTTGGTGCCAGGGTTATATTTGCTTCCTAAAGTAGGTTGAGACATGTTCCCTCTCTCTCTTTATGCGTAAAAAGTTTGTGTAAAACCAGTATTATTTCTTTTTGAATTGTTTGATAGAATTCACCGGTGAAATCATTTGGTTCTACAGTTGTCTTTGAGGGAAGGGATTTGAATATGAATTCAAACTGTTTTCTTAGATACAGAGTATTTAGATTATCTATTTTTGAGATACTTTTGTTAATTTTTTGTTCTGCAAAGAATTTTCCATTGAAACTAAGTTGTCAGGTTAATATGTATAAAATTGTTTATAATATTCCTTTATTATTACATTTAATGTTGGTAGTAACTGTAGTGATATAAACGTTTTCATTCTTTATATTGGTAATTAGTATCTTTTTTCTTTTAACATAAGTTTTTCTAGATGCTAATTAATTTTACTATTATTTTCAGAGAATAAACACTTGTCTTTTTTATTTGTCTCTATTATTTCTTCACTATTTCTTTTTTACTAGCTACTTTGGGTTTAATTTCCTCTTTTCTAGCCTCTTAAGATTGAATCTCAGATCATTCATTTAAAAGTTTTCATGTTTTATAAAATAAGCATTTAGTGCCTATGTATTTCCATCTAAGAAACGCTTTAGATGTATGTCAAAAATATTTATATGCTATCTTTTCATTATTCATTTAAAAATACTTTCTTATTCTTTTGATTTGGAAACAATCTTTTCAAAGAAGTCCACATTTATTTAGTCTATATGGTATTTTATTCCCCATGGTTAAAATCAATAATCAGTCAGCAATTAGTGTAACTTAACAGGTGGGAGTAGCTATATAAAAAGATAGTCAAATAGAACCATGCCAAAAATCACGGTCATTAAAACAATGAAATAATGGTACATGCTAAAACGTGGATGAGTCTTGAAAATAATATGCTAAGTGAGTGAAGCCAGACACAAAAGGCCACATATTATATGATTCCATTTATAAGAAATAGCCTGAAGAGATAAATCTATAGACTCAGAAAGTAGGTTAGTTGTTCCTTTGGACTCAGGGAGTGGGGCGATACTGGAGTGATAACTAAAGGATAGGGGGATTCTTTCTGAGGTGATGAAACTGTTGTAAAATTGACTTCGGTGATGATGGCACATATCCATGAATATACTCAACCAAAAATGAGACCCATTGCCGTCGAGTTGATGCCGACTCATAGGGACCCTATAGGACAGAGTAGAACTGCCCCACAGGGTTTCCAAGGAGCTGCTGGTGGATTCCAACTGCTGACATTTTGGTTAGCAACCACAGGTCTTAACAACTGTGCCACCTAATTGTACAGTTTAAATGGGTGAATTGCATGGTATGTGAATTATATCTCGATGTAGCTGTCCAACAACAATAACGATAACAAATACAGGGGGAAATAAAGAATAATCTGAGTGTCTGCTGCAACCGGATTTCCGGCATCACCACCCTCACCTGGCTGTGAGTTTGGTGCTTAGTGCCTCCCCTTAGCAAAGGGAAGTGTGTTTTTCTCATCCCCCAAATAGCAGCTCAGCTGAGCAGAGAAGCCAGTTCTCTGGGACCAGCCCACAGCTGGGCTGCTTCTCTTGGTTCTAAGGCTAGGCCTCTGCTTTGGGTTCACAGGCTTATGAAAGCCACCTGTAGGTAGGTATGGTTTGTCCTTTTCCTGCTTCCTGTCTCACCCAGCAGGGTGTGCTGGTGGGTCAGAGCCCCGCCCCTTTAAGGTCCCTCTGGTGCTCACTGAGGACAATTGTTGCTTGGTTACATTGTTACCTAGGGGACAACCAACTTTGAAAAGGCCACAGCAGGCCCTGAGCCATGTGAAAGAAGGATAGATTCATGGGCTGAGGATGGGGTTTGCTTGAGGATTGGGCACAGCCTGCTATCTCCACCTGGGGGACAACCTGACGACTGTGGAATCCTGTGGCTTTTGAGCTTCCAAAGGTGGGTCTTATGTCAGAAAGTGGCCCAAGTGTTCTGTCTTTATTTTGGTGAAGCTCAGAAGAAGCTGCTGTAGACATGTTTAATCAACATATATTAGATACTCCAGCTGTGATTTTTGACAACGGATCTGGGCTGTGCAAAGCAGGCTTGTCTGGAGAGGTTGGAGCCCATCATGTCATCAGCTCTGTCGTGGGACATCCGAAATCGAACTTTTCTTTAGCCGGATCCAATCAAAAGAACTACTTTGTGGGGAAACAAGTCCTGGACAAGTATGATGCCCTACACCTGCACTACCCCATTAAGCGTGGCCTAGTGACAGACTGGGATGACATGGAGAAGCTCTGGCAGCACCTTTTTGACTGCGAGCTGGGTGTGAAACCCTGCGCCCAGCCCCTGCTCGTGACTGAGCCCTCCTTGAACCCTAGGGAGATTCGGGAGAAAATGGCAGAAGTGATGTTTGAGACCTTCAATGTGCCTGCCTTCTATCTGTCAAATCAAGCGGTGGTAGCACTCTATGCCTCCGCCTGCGTCACGGGCCTGGTGGTGGACAGTGGGGATGGGGTCACTTGCACTGTCCCCGTCTTCGAGGGTTACTCCCTGCCTCATGCTGTCACCAAGCTCTACATAGCAGGAAGGGACCTCACAGAGCACCTCACCCGGCTCCTCTTGGCCAGCGGGCATACCTACCCCAGCATAGTCAACAGGGGCTTGGTGGATGACATCAAAGAGAAGCTGTGTTATGTGGCTTTTGATCTAGACAAGGAGCTAAGCAAGAGGCGGGAGGACGTTTTGAGAGAATACAAATTGCCGGATGGGACTGTCATCTGCATCGGGGAACAGCTGTACCAGGTGCCCGAGGTCCTCTTTGTGCCTGAGCAGCTGGGCATACATAGCCCGGGGCTCTCGAAAATGGTTGCTAGCAGCATCATGAAGTGCGACATTGACATCCAGATGACCCTTTTTGCAGAGATTGTGCTGGCCGGGGGCACCACTCTGTTCCCTGGCCTCGAGGAACGCCTCTTGAAAGAGCTAGAACTGTTGGCTTCCAAAGGGACCCCCATCAAGATCACAGCTTCTCCTGACGGGTGTTTCTCTGGGTGGATTGGCGCATCCGTCATGACGTCTCTGAGCACTTTCAGGCAGATGTGGGTCACCTCTGCCGATTTCAAGGAGTTTGGGCCATTGGTGGTCCATAGAAGATGCTTTTAGAGGACCCTGAGCACAGCAGGAGACAGCTGGAAACCTTGGAGTACAAGGGCACCCAGGTCAAGTGAGGTCATCCCTCAACCTTCAGCATGATCTTCAATAAAGTGTTTTGCCCCTTCTGACATTAGTTCATTCTTGGTGGCACCAGAGTAATTTCTGACCCTGGTAGTGAATCTTTAAGTGGCTCTATTCCATTCCCCTCCCATGTGCCTCATAAGTTGTCTTCTCCTGAGAAATCCTTGGGTTGTGAATTCAGCCTGTCACCTGCAGTTTGTAGTCAAAGCAGTTGCCTGGGCCTCATGCCCACTGGCTTGATCCAGCAGGGGCCCTGGAATCTGCATTGTAAACAAGTGTGTTGGGTGGTTCCAATCAACCCAGTGTCCAGGAGACACATTCAGCAGGGGGAGCAGATGGGAATGGGGGGAGAGGAGTACAAGCAGGAATGTTACCTTGTTCACAGGGCTCAACAAACTCTTTGGCTGAGTGCAGCCTTAACAAAATAGGACTCTTGCCTGGCCAGGAAGGGCAAGGAGTAACTATGGCCTTTGAGAGACTGGCTTACAGGATAGCAACAGGGTCCTTATCATAGGAACCCATATCTGGTATGGCCAGGAGTGCCAGTTAGAGACCACATTTATTGAGAAGCTACCTGATAAGATAGGAGTGGTGTCATGGATTGAATTATGTCCCCCCAAAAAATGTGTGTATCAGTTTGGCTGGGCCATGATTCCTGGTTTTGTGTGATTTTCCTATATGTTGTAAATCCTGCCTCTATGATTTTAATGAGGGAGGATGGGTGGCAGTTGTGTTAGTGAGACAGGACTCAGTCTACAAGATTGGATCATGTCTTGAGGCAATCCCTTGAGATATAATAGAGAGAATGGAGCAGAGAGACAGGGGGACCTCATACCACCAAGAAAGCAGTGCCGGAAGCAGAGTGTGTCCTTGGACCCAGAGTCCCTGGGTGGAGAGGGAAGATTGATGAAAAGGCCAACAGAGAGACAAAGCCTTCCCCTGTAGCTGAAGCCCTGACTTTGAACTTTTAGCCTACTTTACTGTGAAGAAATACATTTCTCTTTGTTAAAGCCATCCACTTGTGGTATTTCTGTTATAGCAGCACTAGATGACTACGACAAGTGGCCATGTCAAAAACTGGGTGAAAGAGAAACTACGAGGAAGTAATGGATGCTGAGGCAGCAAACTGTGGATGTCTTAAATTGGCCTTATGATAGGTGGTGACCTGGGAAAGTTTTTCTAATAAGGGGAATACACTAGTAATTTGAAAAATCCTGGGAAGTATTTTTTTTTTCTTTTTTTATTGTACTTTAGGTGAAGGTTTACAGAACAAAAAGTTTCTCATTAAGTCAGTACACATATTGTTTTATGACATTGGGGGAAGTAATTTTAAGGATACTGAATTGACTGGGTATGGCTTTGGGCAACTGATACTGTGAAGAAAGACTCTGTAAGATGGAAGTTGATTAATCAACGATTTAAGCTAAGTGTGAAAGCCATAGGTCCTTCCTATACCATATAAAGAGACTTCCATCTCCTGTAGCCTAAGAGCAGAAAACACCGTAGGGCTTCCCTAGGGTATAATCATAAGAGTAGCAGAGATCCAAAGAAAGCTGAATTCCCAACCCCAGTAGGTCTGTTATTCCAAGATTAAAACCCATAAGGGGAGTTGACATATGGATAGAGCCAACAGTATTGATGCACTCAAAATTTTGAAACCCGAGATTCTCAAGTTAACAGTGATACCCCGAAATCTGAAGTGATACTCTGAGATCTGAAGTGTTATCATGGTTCCCTTCTTAGAGAATGAGTGTATGGGGGCCAAGTAATAAAGGGAATTGTGGACCAGATCTGGCTCACAGTGGACCCATTGGGTCCACCAACGTATACCGTGGTCATCTCTTCAGTCCCCAAATGTATAAATTGGAATTGCAATTGGCCTGTGACCAATTCCATGGCTTGTGGCCTCTCAAAATGCCTCCCTCTAGCTATGTTATTCAGGTTTCTCCAACAACCAGACGAAAAGATTAGATTAAACATGCAAAGATTTTATTAGGGGAAATGCCTGTTAGAGAAAATGGTGAGGGAGCTACGGGAGATGAGAGAGCTGTCAGACCACAATATAAGTTTAACTCCAAGTGAAGGAAACGGAATAAAGGTTGAATGGAAGCATCTTAGACTGCCATGCAGTCTAAGGAAGTTTCATTAAAGCTTTTGGGGAGTCTTCAAGCCAAAGTTGGCCTACAAAGTAGTCTCATGATTCCCAGGAACAGGTCTGCCTTAAAATACCCACCATACTTAGTCATTAACAGGGAGCAGCCTGTGTAAAATGTGACCTTGGAATAAATGTGGTGATCTATCTCATAATGCAGCAGCTGGAGTTCTTGATCAGTCATGCTCCCTGTAGTTGGAAATCTGGCAGGCATTCTTCTGGTCTCCATCCCAGCCAAGGAAACTAGTCAAAAGCAAAATTGTACTTGGTGAGGAGGGTGGCAGAGATTCATGCTATCCCTGAAGACCTAAAGAATGTTGAGGTGATGGTCTCCATTTAATTTACTGCTCTGACCCACACAAAAGCTAGATTAATCCTATACCAAAACCAAACCCAATCCATTGCCATAATCAATTCTGACTCATAATGACCCTATAGGACAGAGTAGAACTACCCTATAGTGTTTTCAAGGAGCAGATGGTGGATTCAAACTGCCGTCCTTTTAGTTAACAGCCGAGTTCTTAACCACTACACCGCCAGGTCTCAAGACTAATCCTATAGGATGACTTAAATTTAAACCTCGAGTAAGTGTATCCCCAATTGCACCTGCTTTGCTAGTTGTGGTATTAAGTACATAGTTTGCAATCACTAATCTGCTGAATTTGTTTTATTATATCCTTATAAAAAAGGATCACTAGGAACAGTTCTAATTCACTTGGAATGGACAAGAGTATAAATTTATGTGAACTGTCTCACCCTCTGTAATAAAATAGTCTAAAGGGATCTGGGCCCTCTGTACATCATTGAGAGTAGGACATTGGTTCCAATGCCATAGTTCTTTGGACTGAATGAAAAAGAAATGGCATGTATGCTGGAGGTTTTGGTCTGATGTATGTGCTCAAGAGGGTGGGAGATAAACCCTAAAATAATTCAGAGGCTTGCAACATGCCTGGAGTTTTAGGGAATCCAAGGGTCTGTGACATGCTGGACATCTTCTCCAAATTAAAGGACACATTATTAGGTCTTGTAACTCCCACCACTAAGAAGGAAGCATAAGGCTAGATAGGGTCTGGAAGAAGTATATTTCACACTTGAAGATACTGCTCCAATCAATATACTGAATTATACAAAGGCAGTCAGTTTGAGTGGCGTCCAGAGCAAGAGAACATTTTGCTACAGTGCAAGGGACCTTGCTTCTTGGGCCATATGACTTAGTGGAGCCTAGGTATTAGAGTTATTGGTCATAGGAAAAGACACAGTGTGGAATTTATGGTGAATTCCAATAGGAGAATCACAACATAGACTCCCTAGATTTCTGGATCAATACAATGCAATCTTCAGCACAGAAGTATGCAATAAAAACCATTTGAAAAATGGCTCCTGGTGAACTACTGTTCGCTGGTAGAGACAGAGGAGCTCATCATAGAATTTCAAGTGGTTACTTGGTGTTTGGTTGTGGTAATCCATTAATCTGTATACTTAAACAATTTGTGTACTTTTTGCATGTGTATTACACTTTACAGAAAATTTAAAAATACAAGCTGTAAACTAGAAGTATATACATCTTTCCAACAAATTAATATTCACCAGAACTCCTATGACTCAGTAAGAAAAATAAAAATCTTTCAACAGAAAATGGGGCAAAAAAAGATAGCAGGCATTTCAGTTGAGAAAGTATAAGTACTAATGAATATAAAAAGAACCAAACCTTATTAATAATCAAGAAAATTGGAATTAAAACTGTAATGAGGTACAATACAATTTCACATCTACCAAATAGACAAAATTTTAAAATACAAATCATACAACACCAAGTGCTGCCAAGGATATGGAGGACAAGTTATTCTCTAATGGAGCTTATGGGAGTTTAATTGATACAATCAGTTCTGAATATAATAATTGGACATTACCTAATAAAGCTAAATATTTTAATAAGCTATGACCCAGTGATCCCTCACCTGGATATTTTCCTTAGAGAAAATCTTACACGTGTGTACTCTGAGAGAAATGCAAGAATATTTGTAGCAATATATATATTTTTTAATATTTTATTGTACTTCAGGTGAAGGCTTACAGAACAGATAGTTTCTCATGTAACAGTAGCACACATGCTGTTTTATGACATTGGTTAA